ACACAACACAAGTGCCCATTTTGGATACAGAAAACCCAAGAACAGGACTGCTAGACATGCCAGTTTCTTCCGTGCCGGAGCAGGGTGAGACTAGCACTGTAGAGGTCACAGGAGATACAGAGGCTTGTGAGGGTGAAGGGAAGCCAGAAGGTGAATCATCTTCACACACAGAAATAAAAAGCACAGAAGTAACAGATATTTTCACAGAAGAAAACAGAGAAGATAGTTATGCACAGCAAAACTCTGAAGAGTAAGAAGCGTTTTTCAGCCCAGCCCTGCAGGATTTATTTACTCCAGAAATCCCTGTTTAATTGTGAATACTTATTTGGGTCGGGGCTAGAGGAAATGGGCTTTGTTGTTGTATTGCCAGCTCTTGCAGTTTTAGCACGGATCCCTTATGAGTGATGGGTGATAGGTTTCTTTTTGGTTAAAGCCCTCACTGTTTAAAACCAGGTTACTGTTGGGGAACCTCATCTTTCACTTAAAATTTGCTACATTTTATGTTTATAGAAAAAGTCTGAAAATGTGACCACGGAATGCTTCAAAAACAACTCACCCCCAACTATAAAGTTATTTTAACAACTTAACTGTTCTTAGGTGTTTTAGCAGGGGAGTAGCTCATGATTTTTAAATGCATGGGTTTGACAAGTACTGCTATGATTCTTAGGTGGTTGGTACATTCATTGCTATTCGAGGATGCTTTTAGTATTTGCATGCAGTATACGGGAAATAAATAAAACTTTTAGTAGTTAAACGGAACCAAATAGTTAATTTAGTAGGTTGCTCAAAAGCCACACTCTGTGCAAACTCTGCAAACTGATTACTTAATTATTTTAAAGTTTTGACTGATACTAAAGGCAAACAAGTGTTCTGATTTTTTTTTTCCTCTTATTGTTATATTTAAAATGGGGAAAATATGGGAGCAGGTTTCTCAGTCCCACTCTGCACTTCTGGGTTATATAGCCTTCCAGAGCACTTTATGGCTATTTTATTTTGTTTTATTTTATGGAAGGGAAAGATGAGAATGTTTACAATAACTATAACCATTAGGCAGCATCTTTCTGTTTTACTTCCCACCATAAAATATATTCACTTATGGTTATCTGATACAGAATGTTAAAAGTCCTACCATTCCCATTCTTACTGACTTACTTAAGTTAGAATTACCCAGAACCTTTTCAGGTTCATAAACTATACATAAATTGCAATCATTGTGAAATATCATAATCATTGCATATAATTTCTAATACAGTTGTTAACTGAAGCAAAAAGCAGCCAAAGGTTGTGCTTAGATTTTGGATAGCAGAATCACATTTCAAAAGCAGTTATTAAAATGAGACCTGTTGCTTTCATAGCCAGCATATTATCATCCGTATCAAATCATGATCTATGCACAAAGTTGCTTATATGCATTATTTGCATGCACAATTTAAAGACTGTGCACAGAAAAGCTTGGAAATGAAAAATAGTATTTTAATAAATTGGGCTTTAGAGATGAAGACCTCACTTTAGAGGTCAGTTTAAGGCACCTTAAAAATTTGGCCTGGTGTTTCAGACTGTTTCTGAATAAATATAATACAGTACAGGACAGCAAAGATTAATGATACAGTAAGGACTGCAGGATTTACGCCCATAAAGACATGGGAAGAAATAACAAAGTCCCGAGAGCATAATACTTGTTGGCATTTAACTTCAACAAACTGTGCAAATATTATTTAATGCTATCAAAATATGCTATAATACTAACAGAGAATTGACACTAGAGGAACAGGCAAATATTACCACATAAGTAAGGAACGTTGTTGAGTAACTGGACCAACTACAACGTCGCTATTGTAAAATAAATGCAACTCCTATTTATTCCAGAAGCCACACTGTCATATACAAACATTAAGGTCACAGATGTTTTCCTTGCAAAAGTACTTTGAGTCGTTTCCTCCTATTGCATGCAGAAATACTAATTTGTAAACACACAAACCACTGTCAGCCAATTTTTTTTAGAAATCATTAGTTATTTCACTGTCAGCTACTTTTTTTTTACAGATCATTAGTTATTTCTAGTTGGTACTGAACATTAAGAGTCTTCAAATTTATAACGTGTGCTTTACAGTTGAGCAGCAGCAGTCTCTTTTAGCCATGCTAAAATTAGGGGACATGACGTTTTTTAATACGGTGTTTTGTATGAAAGAGGACTAGCAAAGCAGCGATGGTTACTGTCTGTGAAAAAGGCTGCAGTTGCCTACAAAAGGTGTTTATGACTGATACTAATTAGATACATCTGTACAGAAAGTATTTAGCATAAATATTCCCATCGTAGTCATTTCTGAGTTATTTCTATGGCAGGCTTAAATCTGGGTAATATTTTCCTGTAATATTAAAGAACTGAGTTGTTGAATACAGATGCTCAGCATATTTGTATTTTGTAAGTAGGATGGGAAAGAACGGGGAAGATTTAGCCTGTACATCGCCTTGTTCTGCAATTTAAATTGAAGTTCCTTATGGCTAGGGGACTGATTTTTTGCCCTTGTGGACGTTTTCTGTACATTCAGGTGTTTGCAAATGGATAGAGAGTAGTATTTTTCTTGTCTTTAATCAGACTTGGGTAGAGGTTACAGCAATTTAGAGGTCAGCAATCTACAACGTTATGTTGGACCACTGATCAAAAATAATAATAATAACAATCTGCTGAGTCGGTATTTTTTGTCGCTTTTGTGGAATTTCCTGCACTTACCTGGAATGAATTATTTATCTTGTGACTAGGAACAATAATAAATCACCTTTCACTGCCCGGAGGGTTGAGGGTTAGGAGCGCCGCCGTGCCTTGAGGGGAGCGGGCCGGGGGATGTTACCGCTGCTTTATTTCACGGGGTTGCCAGTTTTAAAGGACAGGATATGAAACACATTGTATCTTGCTTATAACTTTGTAAAAACGCTTGTCAATGAAAATAAAAGAAGGTCTTCCCTTCCGTCGCTGGGAGGTTGGTTGTGTGTGTGATAATTAAATTGGGGGGCGGGGGGTTTGCATTAAAAAAATGCGCTTCAAGAGGCTGCCGGGGGCAGAGCGAAGGAGACGCTGGCCTTGC